CAATAAAATACGATGTTTTGTTTGTTATATTCCAATATTCCAGAGAATATTATTCAGTTTATTATTCTTGACTCTGTAGCTATTAAACAGCTTATACTAAAGCGGCAGTTTAAAATGAAGTTGATATGACCTGTCCTTTATTTTCTCCATTTGAAAACATTAGACATTCTACATTTATTTTGCTTATTGTTAATATTAGTGTTGTTGCTGTTGATGCTTTTTATAAAAAAAATGTTTTTATTGTTGTAATATGAAGATTTAATTTAACAAAAGACTGCTAATTTTCAACACTTTTTAAAAGAAAAAAAGATGAGCGAAAAGAGGAAAAACCAAAGTGAAGTATGTACTTACTTCACTCAGTCATGTATTTACTTTATAACAGTAAATAAATATCGGTTCCGCATATCGGTTATCGGGCACATAAACATGCAAATAATTGGTATCGGTTATAAAAAAAAAAATCAATATCGGTTGATCACTAGTATTTATCTCCGCATCACCGTAGCGCTATTTTGGAGAATATCCGCTGAATGCAAGCAGCATACGCTATTCTGTGTCAGCCGCAACACTACGTGTGTTTACGCTTTGATTTGAACGAAAACAGCGCATCCGTGCAGCGTGGCTGACACAGAAGAGTGTACGCTGCTTGTGGAGAGACACAGAGGAGACGAATTGTTGAATAAATGACTGATGGCAGATTCTTCTATCTGATGGCAGATAGTCTATTCTGATGGTGCTTTTCATACTTTTCTGGACCTTGACAGTGTTCATTACTTGGCGGTCAATGGGACAGTCACAAGCCTCCCGGTTTTCATCCAAAATATCTTAAATTGTATTCTGAAGACGAAAGAAGCTTTTACGGGTTTAGAACGACATGGGGGTAAAAGTGATTAATGACAACATTTTCATTTTGGGGCGGAGTATCCCTTTAAGATACTTTCGTTTTGATCGCTACTGTAGAGAATAAATGTTTATACCCAAACTATAAACTTTTATCCCAGTACTACTGTCATATAAAAGTCTGTAACACAGAAATAATAATGTGTGGTTGAAAATACTTGTTTGTGTTGCTCTTTCTGGATCAGCAGCAGCATGAATGCAGATTTGAATGTCTTTAACACCTGTTTCAAATCGTAAGCGTCAGTGGAGTGTGAGCAGCGCGTGTTTTGTCGCCGCCCATGTCAGTGAATGACAACGTTCACATCGGAAGCGTGATGATGGCCGACCCTCTGATTCATTAACATGGGCAGCGACAAAATGTGCTTCTCACACTCCACTGACACTCGCGATGTAACAGACATAACTGAATCGTTGTCATTCAGGAATAAGATTGCGTGGGTGTTTGAATCAAGATCGCAATTTTTTAACAATTAATAGTGCAGCTCTAATGTAAACACTGCAACATGTTTTGCGAGGATATTGTCACGTGCCACGAGATCTCGTCACATCCCTACCGCTCAGGTAAGTAATACAGCCAACAAAAGAAATCTAATAACTAAATGGAAAAAAACACTGCACAGCTTGCACTGTATAGTTTGATAGATGAATGCTTATTAAGCTAATGTTTTTTAGATTAAGAGCTGTGAGTGATTTTGTTGTTTGATTAACATTGCTGGCCCAATCTTCAGAAGGTGACTGCATATATTCACACACATCAGATTTTCTTCCAGGTGTTCATGTTCATGTTAAGACATAAACTGTGTTTAAGTGAGTACTGTCGGCACTTTTGACATATTTTAGTGTGTATTTGATTGTTTGGACACACACCCGAAGCCCAAAGTGTAATTTGCTTGTCCGTTTTAGACCCCACAGACACAACTCAGCCTGGGGAACAGAGTCTTTCGTGTGGATTATTGTGCTTTCAACATTTTATAATGTTAACATGTCCCGCAATTTAGCAACAGTAAAGACCGCATTTTACAACAATCACTGATTGTGCTGATTCTGACGTTAATTTGGGGTTTTAGGGTAAAACTAATGTGCACCGCTGTGAAGGGAAAGAAGCTGCACTAAACGCAGCTGGTTTTTAATC